ACAGTGCAGTTCCATAAAAAAAGATCAGTGCGTCGTGATTGTCGATGACCTCATTGCCACAGGCGGTGAGTAAATACTATGAGGTTATTACGAGGATACCTAAAAGTATGCATGAAGACAGTACATCGGGAGTATCGACCGACGTGCAGCAGAGTTTGATGCATTGGTGTACTGTCTGTGTGCATACTTTGAAGTAATCTTGTAATAACCTTATTATTATACATCTTTTTCTTCCAAGGATACATCATAGGTATGACGAAATTCAAAAAGTTTAGAACAGAATCGGCAAACTTCTTTGTGTGGAGTCCGGTCAAACTCTGGTGGTAGCCATGTTTGTTTTTAAAGGATGCTTACGTGCGTAGTCATTCCATATTTGGAATTTGCATTTCCCTAATATGGTTGGATGAAAATACCCCGTGAAATACCGCAAAATTACGACAAGCTGTAACTTATGGCATTACCGTGACAGATGTATAATAATAAGTATTATTAATCACCGTATGTTATTTTTTCTCATTACAGGGACTATGGCAGCAGCCAGCAAACTGATCACTGATATGGGGGGAGATCTGAAACTGTGTATAGTTGTGATTGAGTTGAATTGTTTGAATGGAAAAAGTAAACTGTCACATCCTTTTCTTTCACTCCTGCAGTACTGATCTTATAAATTATATTTTTTGGCATTGAACGGTTGTTGTTGAAGCCTGGATGCACAGACATTCTAATTTAATTTCATCCGACAACCATCCGTCAGTACTGTATAACCATATATACTGAATTTTATTCTTACATGTACTTAAATACTGTACTTATTCTGGACTCACAGCTAACAATTATTTCTGTTTTCCAACCTTGAATGGAAATTTCATTGTACATGTAATTCAATAATTTATTGGAATAATTACTGATAGAAAATGAAAATTATTTCACTATGGTAACGAGCAAATACAAGAATGCATACTGCCGTTTCTAACTCGAAAATTCTGACCATATTTTGTACTAATTACAATATTGCTCAGAGTAATAGATTTGTGATTTTTAATCGGGTTTTTGTGATCAATAAAAGACTCATTAAGGTTACTTTCATCACCACTACAATAAAACAGCAATGTAATTGCCAGTAAACTTCTGCTTATTTTTTCCTGGTACTGTGGAATACTTTATTTGTGCTGGAATTAATTTTCGCTGAAAAGGCTTTTTGGGCGTTTTGTATGGAATTTATTTTCACTGATTTCTGATGAGTTTAATGTGATATATAGGAAAAAAAGTATATTTGCTGGATTTTATTTTCACTGAATCATTCCTCCAGCGAAAATTAATTTCAAACGAAAATAAAGTATTTTACAGTAGATCAAATGATTTTTACGTGGGTGCACTATTATGCTAAAAGTGATCAGTGTAACACAAACTCATTTTGAGAGAAGACAGTTTCTGTAGTCTTGAAGTGAAATTGCCCTTCTGAATAAATTTTTATAAAACTCTTGTATCATAAATGGGAATATTAGAAATAAAACAAACATATTTGGAACCAAAAGTTATGACCACAGCAACAACATTAAAAGCATCCCGATGACCTGTATAGCTGACCATGTAGTGAGCGTGTAACACTGAGACTATACATCATGTTTTTTTGTTTTTTTTAAATAACTTGTATTTTTGTGTACAGCAATTTGGATACAAATGGATAAAATAAGTTGAAAGGAAAGTGTTTCTGCTATTGAAATTGTCCCTCAGTTTTAGGTTTCATTTTGGTTTGACCCAACCAGCTCTAATCAGATCTTGATCTAGCAGCAATTAATTGCAAATAAAAATAAAGTATTTTACAGAACAGTAAACCACTTAATTTTTGCTGCTAAGAACGTTACACTGACATAAAAAAAGCTTAAAATATTTCAATCTGATTAAAATCTGATGTAGTGTACAGGCTTTAATTATTTTGGCCATAAACTTATTTTAATTTTATTTTTATTATTTTTGTTATTAATGCCTTTTTATTTTACTTTGATTTTGTGATTTTTTTTAATTTGTTGGCTTTCGCAATTACCAAAACTTCAAAAAATAAATACTAGATCAAAATAAAATAAATATACAAAAAAAAAAAGCCGAAACTAGGATCTTATTTTAATCAGATTGAAAATACATCAGCACTGGTGGTAGCTATTACGTGACTTTTACCCGCATGAGAAAGCAGATATGAACACAAAACTGGGCTTAATGCAGAAGCTTACTCCTACAGGAAAATACCTATAATTTATTCGTTTTGCAATAAATTGTACTCCAGGTTAATATAAGGATATCAGTGATCACCAGCCTATTGTTTGATAAAATGGTGGTTGTATTTTTAGTGAATACTGGTAGTGGCCATTTTGTCAGTATTATAACATTAATACCATTAGTTCATTGATATGACAGAAAAATTGTGCTATGTCTCAAATTTTAAACTTGTGACATAGGGTGAACAAATCATGACTGGGTACTTTTTGTATAGGATGACAACAATTTTTATGGAATAATTTTAAAATATCGTGACTGCCTCGCTAAGTCGCATTAGTTGGCTCCCAAAAATTCTATTGTGTTTTGTTGAAAGTTTTGAAGTAAAAATAACTAAAGTAGTTTGTTTCATCGCATTGTGTATTTAATTGGCCGTTAAAGTGCAGAAGGAGACAACTTAACACCTACTGTCCATCCAATTACTGAGAAACAAAGGGGTGACAGCGGCCTAACTCGAAGGTGTCGACGTGGGTGTCAAGTCGCGACTTTAACATCTCAGTTGGTCACCCTGCTATAGCTCTGTAAAGCTCAATACAATAAGTTGAATCCATCACTCTGATCTCTAGTTCTCAACTGAACAGCATGTCTAAGCGAAAGCTATCCCGTCTGTTCATACAAGAAAAACTCGCAGCAATTGACTGCGATACGCGACTGAAATTGAGCGAAAGTATCAGACAATGATGACATTGATAAACCTATGGCTTCAAGAATGGTCTGTTTGAAAAATTTACAAGAACAATTTCATTGAACCAATGAACATTGTCATGGGATTTATGACATGTGGCATTCTCAAAACTTATGAGTAGCCTTCCACATTAAGCGGCATTATTTGATGACCATTCACAAAGAGTTTGTAAGGCTAGACTTTTATTATCCCTTGTTTTGCGAACCCGCCGAATGAACAGGAGCCGAAAATGAAATAAAAATAGAATTTTATTTCAGCGTAATTTCTAGTGCCCGCTGACTTGTAGATGCAAATGATTGCTAACAAAATATTATTTTTATCTTCATTTTTTTACCACCCACCGCATACCAAATCCAAGTTGCATTTTGGTGGGAGTATCATGATCAAAGTACCGAAGTCTCTCGCAGACGAGAAACAAGGTTATACATGGAATAAAATTTTATTTAATTTCTTCTCTCCAATCAATGATCTCACTTACAATTCTTTGAGAATCACACAAATCTAATGGGGAAAAAAGAATTAATTTTATTTTTCGCCCTCCTCAAAAAAAATTTTCTTATAAAAACTTGAGAAACAAGGAATAAAAAAAAGTCTGGCCTAAGTGAATTGAGGTCATAAACTCCATTTGAATGTCATGGTCAACTGTATTCACAATGAACTTATTTACATCTGATACCTCTATACCGGGTAATAGTTTGCTTGGAATCACTTGTATGCATATTAAAGAAGTCGCATGACCACCCAATCATACAGTTGTAAACATTGTTTCCATTGGCGTGGTCGTTAATGTATGTTAATGTATGTCATGTGCATACCGAGGAAAGCACAAGATAGGTTATTTTTTAAATTAAAGCGAAAGGGTTGTCACCTGCACATGCACTGAAATAGAGTCCCAAGCGATAACACATGCTAAAAATGCAAAGGCTCATGGGCAGACACTTGTTTGTAAACCATGACACACTATGGCCATCTGACGCCCACAAAATAAAACTAAGAGGGTAATATACCATAGATCATGTCGCAATTCCAAATTTTGGTGCATTGAGGGATAGCTTTGACCGATTCTCACCCTTATCATACACAACTTGAAATTCAGATATGGTCTATGGCTAAGATCTGTGCCTTAAATTTGATTCTAAGAGCCAGCTTTCTACTTTTTGACGAGATAATTTTAATTTCATCAATTTTCAACACCTTTACAGCAATATCCCACTGGAGTGCACATATCCAAACTCATTCACTATGCATGGGCCCATAGTACATATGTAGTACTTTGCAAGAGAGCCTCAACTTTCCAAATTTGTGTTGGCAGATATAACAGCTTATGGTTAACACTGATGTCACACTCAGATGATATCAATGTTACTTAACTTGGGTTTTACATAGAAACCAGAATAAACCATGGTTCCACAAGTGATGCAGAATGTGCTTACTTTTTGAAACTCCTCATTTCATGTATACCATTGGGTCCAAACATCTTTCTTTTGCCGAGAATTGGCTTACATGCAAATTAGGAAATTAATATTCGAAGTTTAAAGCAAACGTGCTGTTAATATGCTCAGATTTCAAACTAGAACAGCTATGTACCACGTTTCACTGAAAGCTTTAAAAAGCTAATTAATATGCTCAGATTTAAATCAGGTCTACATTATCCTCGTGCATCAATGATCAGTTCTCGAGATGTCAGTGAACAGACGCATAGTCACATTGCAAAAACTATCATTTCGTGCATCATACAGGAATTAAAAAAAAAAACACACTCTTGTTTCTGGAGATCATTACAAAATTTAAGACCCAAGGTTTCATTGAATATTAACTACAGAGATGCATACCGGTAGTTTCATACTAATATACATCACCACAATTCAGTGGTGGGGGGGAGAGGAGGAGGCAGGTTTGTTACAAGCTTACAGCGAGCCAAGTAAGGTTTCTTAAATATACTATTCATTACTATTCAGGCTTAATCAAAAACAGAAAATACATGTATTGTCTTTGGTTCAATCCATTCAACATTCTTTCTGAAAACTAGCTCACCTTTCATTGATAATTTTGCAACAATTTCTGCATTTTTTATTCCCAGTTATTTTCAACAGCTTGATTTGTATTTGTGTCCTACACACATGCATCATTTTCAAATTCCTCTTGGAAATCTCAAGACAGTGCTTGGATACCAGAAAAACTGGTTTAAGCCGTGACAATTCCCAGTTCTTTATAGACACAGATAATCAGAGCTTCATGTAATTTAATCCCATAAAAGGACAAAGTTAAAAACATTTGTAGCAGGTAAGTTTACAGTACACTCACTTACACACAGAGAAATGAGAGTCAGTGATGCATCATTTCCTTCCATTCATTGCAATATTCTACGTTATATGTGAAATCGTACATAAAAACACCTTCCAGCTGAATAACGTGCTATACACATACACAGTCAGTTTGAAGAAGTATGGGCATCTCAATTGAATGCGATACCCCCCCCCCCTGAACGTTCAGCATTTCAACACTGAAGTATGAAAAAAGAAATTTAAGTACAAAATCAAATCATTTGTTTTTTCAGTCGACGTCTTTCACGCATTACGCGAGATTTCACAGTAAGCAAAAAATCCACCTAGTATCCTTTATTTTATCAAAATCTGTATTTCTTTTATTTTTTTAAACATAACATCAAGTAGTTAGTTTTTTTTTTCATCTCAGCCAGTAAAATAAAACAAAAAAAAAGTCGACTACATAATAGTGTCATATATATAAATACTACTAGATGCAAAAGCATTATCTAACGGTACATGGGAATCTACTCTAAGTGCTGACACAAGAAGATAGGTTGAAAACTAAACTATTCTGCAAGGTGAGCTGTTGACTGTTGTATTATGGTATGCTGAATTTACTTCTATTTAGGTATGTGAAATTGATCAGTGTCAGTCATAATTAATGTTCGACCGGTCAGTTGACTAGATGATGACCACCTCGGAGTGCCAAGACTAAATGAAGAACAGAACCACCTTGAACTTTGTAATCAGCTGCTGTTTTATCGTCATTCCTGAAAAGCAGAAATATGTCAAGAGATTATTCTGATGAGAATTTGGTAACATTGTGTGGTGAATGTGAGCTTTGTTTTCAGAACTATCCATGCTGCATATATTATGGCAAGTCAATATGAATGCAGAATATATAATCTCAAGTAAACAGTCAGCAACAAGGCGCGACTGTGACATAAATAATGATTTGATCTGAAGTAATTTTTCAACATATTTTTTCAATCTAGATGTCAATTATTTTGATAAATGTGTATTGTTACACTTATAGACAAGTCATTGAAAATGACACAGTCCCCGTTAAATTTTTGAAAGTTCTCTTTGTGCTCGTCATATTAAAGCGGAGGGGTTGTCGCGAGCGTGTCCTTGAAACTTGAGTTCCAAGTGGCGTATACAACAGATTGTTTATTTACATCAAAACACGTATTCCGTGTAGTAGTAATATGGCCAAAAATAAAAACAGCCGTTATTCGGCCATCTTTGATCTGATTATGAAACACACTGATATGTATGATGTATGTGCCAAATATGAATGAAAATACATAAATTGTGCAAATATAGTCGTAAGGCCAAAAAGTCGGATGGCTGTCAATTGGCCATTCTTGACCAGATTTTGAAACAAATTGTCATGGACATGCATCCTAACATGTATAAAGTACATGTATGTGCCAAATTTGAATGAAAACTGACAGAGCACGTCAAAGATATCGCATAAAAAAACAAAATTTTCAAAAAACAAGATGGCTGCCAGTCGGCCATTTTGAATTGAATCGCTAAACCACTGCATGTGCATATGTCCCACATAAAGTACTAGGCACATGCAAAGAATGAACGGAATCGGTCCAAGGGATTCTGAGATATGACTCTGGACGGACGCACGGACACACATACAGAGACCGAATTATAAGTCCCCGTTTTCGGACTTCGTCCGAACGGGGACTAATAAATATAAATACATAAACAATTTAATTTTAGCTTGTTAGTTATTTGAGTTCTGATGTGCTTGTTCGTAAACTGGTTTATTTTTGTAGACTATGGTGTACTAGTCGGTTAAAATTCAGAATGATACCGTACTCGACCGCGTTAGCGCCCAGGGGCCTCAACTCAGAAAATCACGATTTTGTAGGGGTGGGCGCTTACCCGAGCACCCCCCTCGAAAAAGAGTGCAAATGAAAATTTTGATTCATCAAGTGACAGATTACGTCTTTGAGGGAAAATCAAATTACTTAATTAATTTGCGTCGTCATTGATTTTCACAATGAAGAAACAGAAATGATCACAAAAAATATGCACGTTTTATTACAATATTAATTACGTACCACCATAATTTACGGAATTAAAAACATTTGAGTCTGTAGAACACAGTCGAAGTCAAAATTGTCATATTATTTCCACTAACGAAGTTGTTGGATCGTACGCAAACTCTTGATGAAAATCACTTTCCGCCATGATGCAATTGCAGATTTGACCTACAGCAGCGTCGTTTGACCTAATGGGTCAAAGTTGGTTATTAACTCATCAGAATGCTGTGTTGTACTGACGCAATTCTTCGGAAATTCCCGAAGACTTTCCGGTAACGCAATGCGGGAGTGAATAATCGATGTCGAAGTACGATCTGTTGGAATTGATTTCAGCGAATAAACGACATGGTTTTTCCAAAAAACTAGTAACTAGCCATTTTTGAGAGGTAAACTGAATATGGCATGAAATATTTATCGCATTTTACTTGTATTAACAGGTCATTGTCGAAGCGTAGTTTACGCACGGTTACCGTGTTCTACGCATTCACAACATATTCACAGCGATCGATGTCCACGCTGTATCATACAAAAACGATTACCAAGATTTGTTACGCAAAACCAAGTTTTAAATTAGTTGCATTTTGAAGGGGTGGGCGCTTTGCCGAATGACACCCCAAATATAATCAAAGAAAGCTTAGAAAGAACTCCCGTGTGCTGAGAGTATTGAAGACACATTAAAAATTAATTCAAAATTACTTGTACATGAGATATTGATAGAAAAGCTGAAAACTAATTATGTACATCAGGTAACTAATATGAACAGAACAGAACAAAAAAATTATGAGTTATTATGCTAATTAGAGAATTAATATGAACAAATTTTAACCCAAAATTAATCAGGCCTGTCTATTGTCCTAGAGCATTTATGTACCAAATTTTATTCAAATGTGATGATCAGTAATTGAGATATCAGTGTTAATTATGTTAATTAGGAGATTAATAAGCATAAATATTTACCAAAAACTAATTGGGTTTCTGCATAGTTCTCTTTAAAAGTTTCATTAAAATCCAATTTGTGGTTCTTTATATATCAGTGGAACATTATGCAAATTAGGTAATTAATATCCAATTAAAACTAATTAGGTCTCTGCATAATCCTAGAAGATCTATGTAGCAAGTCTCATTGAAATATGATGATTACTACTTGATATATCAAAAGCTGAAAAATTAATTAATTATGCAAATTAGATAATTAATATGTACTCATATTACCCTAAAAACTATCAGGTTTGTGCAG